ATAACCTTGTTGGAGAACCAGAGTTAATCCCTGGTTTTCTTTGTCACGGATCCCCGGAAGCAACGGTTTTGGCACGAGGGCGCGACGTCGATTCGCGAAATTAATAAAACAAAAGAAGAGAAGAGATTATGTGCATGTATATCCTTCTCCATAAATATTCTCCCATTAACACTAATAATGGAAGAATAATTTTTATTTTAATAAAACTGAAAATATACGAGATTGCATGATTTGAGAAACGATCGTCGTTAATTCCCTGCCAAAATGACCGCTCTCGGAGGTAATCCGGAAGATCTGGGATTCATTCTTTCTTGCAGCGAGGACCTTGACCTTTGGATTGGTTTAAATTTTCCTTTTCCCGTGAAGATTAAAGACCTTGTTGAATAACCAGAGTTAATCCCTGGTTTTCTTTGTCACGGATCCCCGAAAGCAACGGTTTCGGCACGAGGGCGCGACGTCGATTCGCGAAATTAACAAAAAAAAGAAGAGAAGATTTTATGTATAATATATTCTTCTCCATAAATATTCTCCCATTAACAGTAATAATGGAAGAATAATTTTTATTTTAATAAAACTGAAAATATACGAGATTGCATGATTTGAAAAACGATCGTCGTTAACTCCCTGCCGAAATGACCGCTATCGGAGATAATCCGGAAGATCTGGGATTCATTTTTTCCTGCAGCAGGACCTTTAATTTTCTTTTACATTTTTTAATCTGATGAAACTCTATTGCTCATATTACGATATGTTGAATTCACTTTCCATCTTGAGTTGTTGTAAAAATTACACAAAATATGGCTTGGCAAATATAGTCTTGCTGTATTTGTCGAGCAAATCTTTTTTGCTCGACATGTAACCTATCCATTTATTTTTCATATTTTCTATATTTGATTTGATATATAATATGTATTGTCAAGATGCGTATCGCATGAACGACATGCACAATTACACGCATCTCCGCGGTCGGTTTACGCGGTCGGTTTTCGCGATCGGTTTTTCAAGAAAAAATTTTAATTAATTATTAATTACTTAATTTTATCCATATTATAAATTTTAATTTATCGAGGAATATGATGAAAATCACTCTAACGCGAAGTAAATTTTTTTCTATATCTATTCGAATTTTGAATTCAAAGATCATTTTACGAAGAGATGGTCAATATGTTTAAATAAATAACGAAAGCAAAAATAAATTTGGTTCGTACATACCGTAAAGTTTTTTGAATTAATATTTTTCTTTTAATTAACTTCTCGTGGTCGTGCATTTTGCGATACGATCGTCACTCGTATATTCGAACCGTACGAAATATTTGTCGGTGACGATAACCGACTATGGAAGGAGTTTTCTTCCTTCCTGATCTCTGGTCAAAATGACCAGACTGTATGGCCAGGAGCAACGAAAGGTAGGTCCAATCTGGCCCAACGCAAGATTCAACGAGATAAGTGGTCCTTCTTGACCACGATGGTGAAATGTATAAAAATTTACTTAGATCTTGTGTATATCTTTTTATGTGTCAAAAGTCGGGTGGGATATTCTTTTCTACATTTTCTCGCGCCTGTATGCGAGATTGGAAAAAACTAAATTAAATCAATTTCAACCGCGCGCGAATTAAAACCCCAAATTATATCCTTAATAATCGCGTCGCGGTTTTATTTGAAATAAATTAAGTTTAGTTGAAAATTTGTATGTTTGTTAGGCAGGAATTTGTATATTCGGGTAGGCAGGAATTCGGGTAGGCAGGGACAGGGAGACATAATTTATTACGTTTGTCGTAGACATAAGTAAATTGTATGAAGAAGGATAAATGATAAAAATGTAAAAAATCGTATTGTAAAGAAAAGAGGACCGCTGAGTGGAATCAGCGGGGGCGGCAGAGGGCCTCTTTAGATTAATTTTTCTATGGTATGAAATTTTAAGTTGATCTAAAATAATCTTTTATGCGATAGATTTTCGTTTGCGCATTTACGATACGATTTTTTGTTTACACATTTTGTAAAGAATGTTACATATTACTGTCTGAAAGTCAATCAGTGAATTATCACTGAAAACGATTATAACTATTGAATTATTCAGTGGTATACTTGTAACTGTGCATCAGTGGGTATTCACTGTTTTCTGTAATAATCCACTGATTGACTTTTGGAGAGTAGACATAGCTACATGTTTTATATTGTAATAAATTATAAAATTAATTGTGATTTAATATAATAATGATAAACATGTCAAAAGAAAATAATTATTGTAAAGAAAAGAGGACCGCCAATCGAAATTGGCGGGGGTGGTGGAGGGCCTCATATTTTAGCAATTCACTTTCAATGTAAACACAGTACCGTGCAATTATTGTTACGTAACATCGGCGTTACATTAGCATTTATTCTATATTCAATATTACAATTTTATTGGGCAATCTTGTTAATTCAATCAATCCAATATTAAATAATCATCTAGGTGCAATATCAGTAGTATATTTGCATTTATTTTATGGCCAATATTGGTGTTATATTGGGGAAATATTGGCCAATTCACTGCCAACATAACCAATGTTTAACCAATGTTTAACCAATGTTAGCCAATGTACAGCCAATGAATTGTGCTTCTAGGGAGGCGCTTATACACAAAGGCAAGGCCTATGCGATTAAGTGAAGGTTTAAAAAATATATAAAGTAACTATTAATGTAACTATTAAATTAGTTGCTAGTTATCGAAAAAATGTAATTGAGTTACAGTTACAGATGGAGAAAAAGTAACGAAGTTAAATTAGAGTTGCCAAAAAGAAGTAACTGTAACTGTAACTTCGTTACAAGTAACGAGTTACTTCCCAACCCTGGGTTTAAGCTAGTACATAATAATTATAATTAATCGGCTGAAAGGTCGTTCTCAAATCCGAGATCCGGAAGAAGATCTAATCGATCTCGATAAAGTTCAATTTTACGTTTCCCTGCAATTAAAATCATTTTTGCGCCGTGGCTCTCGCACGCTCGTTCGTAATCCGATGATTTCGCTGCGTGCCACGTCAGCTACTTGGAAGCTCTCCGATTCTAAAGCCAAGCAAGACTGGACGTCGACGTTCTACGAGTATTAAAACCTGGGTATACCTATCATAAAGGCATTCGGAATCCATTCCAAATATTTCCATGATTCCGCGTTTCTTATTTTTCTAAAGTAAAATGTTAAGGTTTTCTAAGGTATATTTTTCCAAGGGCAATTAGAAAGCGATAAAGCTACTCGCTTTTAACATTTGCACTCTAGTGTAAAATACAGAATCGACCGCCAGATATAGTTACAGACACAGCTACTATATCTGTGTCTCTTTACTGAATCTATTAAAAATTTATCTTGTATCTGTATCTTCGATGAAAATAGCTAAGATACCGAGCTCTGCTTTGAAGGTGCAAGACAGTTAAAGCCCGAACAGACGATAAAAACTTAAGCAGTAAAACTTAAGACTTGAGAAAAATGGTCGATGACTGTCGAGAACGTAATCAGCCATTTGGAAACTTAAGCAATATGTTGAAAATTCGATTGATTGAAATTCTTAGGCATTAAGTTTCACCGCTTAAGGGGTCATTCCACTTTAACGGCCCAAAAACTATGCTTATCTTTAACAATTTTTTCACAGTAAATACACCATACAATGAAATAAATCTTTTGGGGATTTATTAGGACTCTCTTAAATAACACAAAAATATGTTGCCATAGTTGAAACAATTTTTTAATCAAGCGTGTTCCACGCCGTTCGAATGGCGTACGTCAAAAAAGATGCAAGCCCGCTGCGTTGATGACTTTTGTCGCTATGTCCCGAACCTCAATTAAGAATTTTTATTTAAAAGTAACAAAATGGTGCCAGTTTGAAAGAAAATTTTGAAAAGTACTTTTCTTAATACTTAATACTTAAGTTTTGTCGTGCGTTCGGGCCTCTATTGTGCGTCCTTTCAAGACAAAAATTTAAGGCATAAAACACTGACTGAAAAGAGTACGGGGCAGCCATTCCGAATCATCGCTTTGCTGTCCACGCGAAATTGAATGCGCGGTCGATACCGCGGCGATGCGACGCCACTGGACGGTGCCGATCGGCGCGGAGACGGTGCCGGTCCCGTGGCAAACGGTAACGCCATCGCGAACGTGGCGACCGAGTACGCGTCACTCCAACTCGTGCTGATCGAACTCCAGTGTTGCTGACCGGACGCGAGCGCGTTCGATAGCCAGTCGACGCGGGTGGTCGTCGCTTATCGCGAGTGGAACGCCGGCGGATCGAGTTTGCCCAAGAGCCACGCGCTTCAACGAAACAACGGTACGTCACGCGCCGCGTGTGCAACGCGTCTCGCGCGAGGCTCGGCCCGTGGAACGTCGCGGCGAGTGGCGCGGCGCGAGTCCGTGAACTCGACCTGGGGTACCGAAGTCGCGATACAATTGAGAAACGTGACGGAGAAGTAATGGGAAATTCGCAAATAGTCGCGAACGAAGAGGAATAACGGCGCGACAAGGGAACGGAGCGAGCCGAAAGGCTCCAATTTTCATGACGCGGCTTACAGGGAAGACCAATTGAAGGTCAATGAAAGCCAGCGGAGAATTGAAAGAAATTACGACAGTTCGATTGTACTTAAACCCGCAGCTCGATCTTACACTTAAGAATGTTTTAAACGTGATCTTGAAAAGTTGTACGGTTATGCGATGTGAGGTGGTTGATAGGCCGAAGGGACAAAGGAATTTGTTAAACTGATTAATAGTTCATTCAAATGACACAGAACTCGAGTAAACGTTTGCTGTACCAAGTCTTTTTCAGTACAAAAAATTGGAAAGAATAAGGTTAAAGATAACACGCGGAAGATCTTACATCATTGGTTGGGTGGAGTCTTAAGACCGTCTAAACTCAGATTTAAAATGATCTCGTCGCGAACGCGTCACGCAGCAAAGTGCCGTCCCGAGCACGTGGCGGCGGCCTCCATTTTGACGACGCGCGAAAAATTTAAAGGGGATTCGGCGGGAGAGATCGAGGATTGCGAATCAAAGGTCAGGGAAGGCTCGGAAAATCGATTTTATTAAAAGGGAGGGCTGCCTTGGGCAAGGCAGAAAAACGACTGGTCCACAATGCGATTCCTTGCATCTCCTCTGGGGAAAAAAGACAGTTAAGCAACTAATTTTTTTCTATTTCCAGTCGAGGAGTTACGAACAATCGAAATACTTGTGATCAACTATTTTTCCCCAGAGTAGAAACATTCTATTTTGTATAGGCAATAAGTTAGTTAAAATTTGCGCGAGTTGATAAAATTATACATTATACAATTGTACGATCGCACGTTGTCGACAAATTTTTCAAGAGAGCGTACCGATTTGCTTGTACAGACAAAATTGAATGTTTTTACTCTGGAAAAAAAAGACAGCGACCCATTTTGGGGCCCGCAATTACTAATCGAGTTATTTGGATTGTTCGCAACTCTAATCTTTTACGAATTTTACCCCGCGTAACTAAAAATTGCAATTAGCTGTTCTGTCTATATCCAAGATTTCAAAGTAGTACTAATCAATTCTCTCAATTAGTTCTGTCGATATTGAGTAACGCAAAGATAACTTTTACTTACGAGGCATTAACCGAAATGTTAAGTTGCTTGGCTACAAAAAAAACGGTCCAAATTTTTCCTAGAGTAGAGTTACAATCCAAATAACTCGATTACCAATTGTGGACCCCAAAATGGGTTGCTAACTGTCTGTTTTTCCCGGAGTAGAAACATTCTAGTTTGTAGGCAATAAGTTAGTTGAAAAAATTTGCGCGAGTTGACAAAATTGTACATTATACAATTGTACGATCGCACGTTGTCGACAAATTTTTCAAGCGAGCGTACCGATTTGCTTGTACAAACAAAATAGAATGTTTCTACAGAGCACACATGACGTTTCGCAAAGAGCACTTGCGGATGAAAGCTCTAGTTCTCCCGGCGCGCGTTTATCGAACAAAGAAGGACCCCCGCCAAGTTAAAAAGATCTTCTTAAAGGGAAAAAAAATGCAAAAGGAAAAGAGAAAGTCGGGCACGTACCCGACGTGTAATTGTATCATCTCGTAAACTACACCTCTGCCCGCATGCTCCATATTTTCTGCAAGCTTTTCAACCTGGTCGTGAAATCCGATCTTTTTGCGTTTGCTTTCACATTCATTATTCGGCATGACGCGACCCAGACGTATTATGCGTGCGAAGAATGAGGTTGAAAAAAAAACTAAAAAATAGGAGAGAATACGAGAAAAGCTAACGGACTGCACCGTACAGCTCGTCCCGTATGACGATCCTATTGTGCTCGGCGTAGCCTGACGAAGTCTATCGGCTTCGGCAATTTTTGTTACAAAATCCTCGTCGAAACTGGGGTAGAAAGTTGGAGGAACGGAACGTTGGGAACGGAAAGACAGACAGAGAGAGAGAGAGGGAGAGAGAGAGGATTTCCGGAACGGATTTGATTGACGGGAAACACGCGCGACGGTGCTCCGACGCCTTATTCTCGCGAAAAACGACGTGAAAACGGAGGAGGGAAGATATCGACGGGGAGAACACGTATCGCGGATAAATGGCGGCCGATATTTCTATAACACGGACTCTCGCGATAACTCTCGCGATCTTGTGCACTCCACCCTCGCGCCTCCGCTGCAGAAATAACGGCGGATCCGCAATAAATCGGGGGGGGGGGGGCGGCGGGAGGATGGAGAACGGGCGCATGGGGCGGCAACGGCGCCGTCGGCACGTGCTCCAATTCTTACGGCACGCCGAGGGCTCGGCGGGAGGATTAGTTATCGGCGAGGATCTCGGGCACGAGGACACCACGTGCGCGAGGGTGCACCGGCGCGACGGCGGGAACGGCGCCTCCGAACACGGTGTGATCGATAACCGGGGTGGCGGGAGGGGGCGGGAGGGTGAAGGAGAGCCGCGTATATCGACGAAGCGTTTCGCTCCCTTTCGCCGGATGTTCGCGCCGACCCGGTGGCACCGAAGGATGTGCCTCCGCGCGCATGCACGCCGCGGAGCGTTTCCTCCGCGATGACAGATCGAACGAGCAGTCGCCGCCGAAAGTGTTTCGCGGCGCGCGCGCGCGCGCGTGTCTCTCCCCCGTGCGATTGTCTTTCCGTTGCGTGTACACTGTACATCGTCGTCCTCGCGTGCACGTTCCACACGCTTCGCGCCCACGCTTGGTAGGACCTCGCGGTCGGCCGACGCGTTCGGCTGTCGCGATACGCGCGGGCCCGCGCCGATTTTCCGCTTATCATCGGTCAACGGCACGTGCATCGGCGCTTCACTCACGCGAGAAACTCGTCCCGCTCGCGAGGGGATAATCCGCGGGATGGCGATTGAATAAAATGCCGCGCAGCCTCCGAACCATATGGAATTGTCACGTCCGTTTTGTCCGCGGCGTCGCGAGCGAGACTCTCGCGACTTGACATGCCGATGAACCGTCGCTGACACATAACACGATTTGCAGAGTGCTTTGCTTGTAATTTTATTAATTATTACTATACGCACGTCTCACGACTGAAAATACCCAACGTGATAACCGAAGTTATTGAAAACTTCGTTTTGTGTCTCACACCTTTTTATCAGATTATCACCAGTGAAGTAGCGCGAACATTTGTTTATCGCTTTGTCACGCACCGCTTTTAAGTAACGCAAGGATTGGACAATAGCATTCGTACGATAATATTATATTGTTAGTTTTCATCATGTTCCTTACTTGTACAGTCAATCAATTATTACACGGAAGGAATTTCCTCTTAACATTTATCCTGAAAATCATGTGATAGTGTGACAACGTGACATTTTGATGAACCGTATGAGAGTTCTTTGAAAATTTTACCATACATTTTACCAGTACATCGTCTGATTATGGATGTTTAATGGACAAAATTAATTAATTACGTCCATTGTGTTAAAATTAATTATAAAAATTATATACAGTACCTTTTAATTTTTTTAGTATAACTAGTTTTTAAGTACGCGAATGAACAATTCGACACAAGGTGCACCTGTTATCAGGTGTACCATAAATTTTACTAGTAAAATGTATGATAACATTTTTAAAAAACTCATAAAATTCCTCGGAATGCCGTGTTGTCCCACGATTACACAATTTTCAGGATAATTTTTAAAAGAAAATTCTCTCCGTGTACTTTAACACATTTCTAGCATATACAGTACCGGCCAAAATGACATCACCTTTAGGTTTTCTGAGCCTAACGTTCGTCAAAGTGCATCGAATGTACTCAAAATTTTACAGCAGACACCTGATAACAGGTGCACCTTGCGTCGAATTGTTCATTCGCGTACTTAAAAACTAGTTATACTAAAAAAATTAAAAGGTACTGTATATAATTTTTATAATTTATCTTAACACAATGGACATCATTAATTAATTTTGCCCATTAAACATCCATAATTACCCATGTATAATTTTATCCACTAGCATAATGAATAATAATTAATATAATTAACAAAATCTTATATAAAATTAATTGTTAACACTAGAGCATTCGAGTGATTTTACTTTTATTTTCTGAAATCCATGGCGCGCCTTCGAAAGGACGTAAAAGCCACGCAAGCATCGCTCCCAGCGTTTAAAGTTTACAAATTGGAAATGGGTTAATCGCGCCTTTTCATCAATCGGGAGTGTTATCCAGGCCACGAGGACGTCCTGTGCGCAGGTGCTCGGCATGCGAGACTTTTCGATCGTTCCCCGTCGGCTGGGAAAGGCGTTTTGTCCCCCTGCGCCCTGATGTGGCTCGCCGTCGTCGTCCCGGCGACGGAGGCCGCGATCGGATCGATCTAGATATAAAATGGAAAAAGGGAATGGAAAAACAATGCGTCCGCCGGTTTCGACGCGACCCGCCGCGAATTAGACGAGTCGACGAGTCATATCGCGAATGAGTCAAAGAGGCCACTAATCGCTTTATTATCGACCACGCGATATACGATACGGAGTCGCGACGTAATTCAAGCCTCTCCGCTTCTTCGGCCGGCGATTCGACGTCCGACCGAGAGAAGGATGGGGCCGGGGGATCGTCGCTAATTGAATCAGGCGCGCGCGACGTGTTGCAATCGAGAATTGTTCCATTTGTCGAGATTAACGCCGGGACCGTTCTCAGCCACCCCCCACGGCGCGGGGATAAAAACCGGAAACACGCGATTTCTTTCACGTTGAGCCTCGCTAATCCGATAGTCCAACAAAGGGAATCTGAAGATCTTCGTTCGGAGAAAAATTATTTGCTTACTTTTATCCCTTTTTACCCGCTCTTAAGATGTAGGCGAAAGTCCTCTATTGTGATAGGTTTCTAATATGCGACAGCAGGTTTTCAGCACCCAAATTCAATCGTAAATCTTTTTTCGTAACGATCGCACGATTCGATAATGAATTTTCCGCTAAACAGATACCAGGGTAATAAATTCATGGTGGAATCAACCGATGATGCCTACATTAATTTAACGGAAACGCTTCGCTATCCCATATTAAGACCCTATCTCATAATAGGGGACTTTCCTCTGATCAAAAATTCGGCAAAGGAAAGAGAGTTCTTTACGAAACTGATGTTCTAAAGATTGAAAAGAGAACGTCACAAGGCACTGATATTATTCTCGTTGCAAAATCTCTTTCTGTTTTCTCGTGGAAAATATGTTAGGGATATGCATATAATTTTTTAAATGAAAGACAGACACTGCTCGCTGTACTTGTTGTAAATGTTTTCAGGAAAAGTATGGTATTTCCTCCGCCGTTCTAAATTGGTTCCAACTTTACAAGGGCAGCGAGCAATAAAAATAGCAGGTCGGACGTAACGTTTTACTATCGGTGTAAGAGCATCGCGGAACTTTGATTAAGGCTGATCTCGACCCTCGCGCGCGTTAAATTTTAAACGCGCGGCCGGAATCAATGCCGCGCCAACGTATACACGTGCACGGACGTAGAGGCACGGATGACATTTTCTCTTGTCTTGTCTGCCGACAGATATCGATGTGGATGTCGAACATGGTGCAAAAGTCGGACAGCGGAAACGACGCCGTCGGCGAAGCCGGTCTCCGCGCGCACGCGAGCTCGATTAACGACGAGTCGTTCGCCACGACCTTGACGCATTAGTGGAATCGCCATTGCGAATGTGCGTCGGGCGCGATCGAAATGTCGTTTTTTGGACGGAAAATGGGCGGCGGCGGCGGCGGCGGCGGCGGGGGCGGCGGGGGTTCCGAGCACACCGGTCATAACTTGCAGGACGGCCTATTTCAAATTGCATCTCAGGCCTGTCACATCCTCGTGCAAGTGAGTCGAGATCTCCGCGCGGAGACGTTTGCCAAATATTTCTCATCGTTCGAGTCGGAAATAATTAAGTTCAGGACGATATCGAGAACAAGCCCAACCAGACCCACTCGGTCCGTTTGGCAACGCAAATACGTTTAATAAACGTCTTAAAAAAACGTTTAGCCGACGCATTTTTCGCAAAAATACAATAAAAACGAAATATCGTACCATTGAAATGTCTCGTATAAAAAAAACGGTATATTAAACTAATCGAGAAACGTTGAAATAGACGCTATAAAATGTTTTTATAACGTCTATTGAATGGTTAAAAAATGGTGTTAAATTTTAAACGTTTATTTTTTCAACTTGCACGAAATTGCTCGAAATTGGTTTTTAACGTTTGTTAAACGTATTTTTGTACACAATTGTGTTTATTTAGGAGATCGTAAGATTTGATATTTTGCTGTCCATGTTTTGAAAGGTATTACCATTTAAACTATTGCGGGAGACAATATTGGAAATAATTCTAAAGACAATATTAAAAACAACGCTACTATAATACATTATGTATGCATTAACGAGAATGTTAAAACGTTACATTGTGCTCGGAAAACTGAATACACCTTGTGTCATTAATTCTCGACGTTAAATCGCAAAACCTACCGCGTTGTGTAAGATGCATAAGAAAAATGAAATATAATTTACGACATTCTGTACATTTACATATAACATTCCGGAAACCAGTAAAACACGCATTATCTTTTCATGTTTGATTCATGTCGTTCGTGAATCATAAAACGTATGTAATAGTAACGTTTGAATCAATAAGCTGTTGTGGCGTGTATTGTAATCTTAATCGATTCGAATGTACATACCATTATTCACGCATACTTTGTTCCTCAGGAGGAATTCTGCCTTTTATGCCTTTACTTTGTTCTGTAAGAGGAATCCTTCCTCTCTCACGTTTTTTCCCAGCAGAACTTAATTAATTATACTCGCGCATGACGTAGCGGAAGTCATCGGGCTGCATCTCGCGCTTTTGTCATCTCCGCATTCGCGAGATTACGAGCTTGAGGTTTGCCCACAGTGAAAATTGCAACCTCTTATTTTTGGTTTCAAAGATTTAGAAAACTTTGCCTCGAGCCTTAAATTAAAATGACATGAATGCAAAGTGTATTCGCAGTTGATCGAAAGTTAGAATCTCGCCTTGTATAGCAAGTAGTGTCGCTTTCAATTTTCTCCCGCGGTAATCCGGACAATCGATCAGAAACAAAGTCTGTGTCGGAGCGATAAAAATAAAGCGTTTTCTTTCTCTCTTTCTCTCTCTCTCTCTGCCCGTCAAGGTGAATAATACGCACAACGTTTCTTACGGAGGTAGCAATAATGTGAATAACATCGCATATTCGAAGTATTCCACGGCCGGCGGCACCGCCGCACCGACAACGTCGTCGTCGGCGAAAGGGGCGACCGCAGCCAAAGCGTATCCCAAGTACGCCGAGCCTCGGGACAAGGACCAGGATGTGGTGGTGTTGTTGCCGCATCGCAAGAACAGGGCACCGCGACTCAAGCACAAACTCTCGGTAGGTCCTCGCATATTGCTGCGCATAAGGTGCACATCTACAAACTCATGTCGTCGTCGTGCGAAGGGATTAAAGCAAAAGTGCATCCAACTCGTGCAATTTACTAATTGTAAGTCCGACAATTTTACTAACAGCTTCATTAACAAGTCATTATTTGTACCCTCGAAGCGGATCGTTTGTCCGCACGTAAATCTGCTCCAATTTCCTCTCTGTAAATCTCGGAAGACGAAAACGCGGTATGTATGGTACATGCGTCACGCAATGAACATTTTTTTTTGTACTTCCTCGTTTTGTCGTCAGAAAAATCCCCGATTAATCTTCGAATTCGTTTATTTCCCTAATGAATCACGGGCGGATTGATTTTCTCGTCACGGATCCTTTCGAACGGACGGCAAAGTCCGCGCGCTCCTTGTCATATTAATGAGATAAAATTTATGCGGTCGTTTTTAATTAAGGACTCGGCTTAAAAGTGGTGGTAAGGACTAGCGGAGCACGGTTCCTTTTATATATCGAATCTCCCGAGTGGATTTTCAAGCGAAGTATATACCAATCGATAATATTGCAACGACATTGCGCAACACGTTTGCGGCGTGGCTGTGTAAAAATAGCATACGTGACATATTGTGTTGTAGACCGTATCCGAAAACGCACGGCTTGATGTCAACTCACCAGGAGGTGACGACGATCTGGAGTTATGGGATCAGACCGGCTTTATGTTGAGAACCGACGTGGACGATCCTCTCGCGAATGCGAAGTACGTGTCCAGTTTTGTAACTTAAAAAATTAGGGGGGACGACAGCTTTTCCAGGGAATAATCTTTCATCGTTTCGTAAATTCGTGAAAACCATGTGACTTAAAGGCAAACTCTATAAACAACTATATTCTCAGTTGACGAATAAATTGTTGGTTCAAGTAAGGAAGGCTTATTATTCTTGTTGTCTCTCGTGTAGCTATTTTTTATCAATTGAAATGAAACAAAGAAGCTTCTTAAGACTGAAAGATTTTTATCTATACAAGAAACTTGTGAATCTGATTATTATGAGATCGCATGGTGAACAGTATAATTTAATGGCGTGATTTTCCTTCGAAGGTGGGGCGCGCAGAGTTGGTGCAGGCCCAGTTGCATACCGATAACGATCATACTGATTCTGATCGTTCTGGTCGTGCTTTTGCCGCTGTTAGACCACGCGGCGGACAAGTACCCGCTAAATGCCACCGCGTTGGACTTGGAATCGACGTGCATGGATCATTGCAGTATATCCCTAGTGGAAACTATACCCGTGGGCTTGAATTATAGCAATAATACAGCGGAGCATGAAAGCACCTACGATTCTTGGATGGATCTCATCGGAATGGCGCAGAATACCATCGAAATCGCGTCCCTTTATTGGACAATGAAAAGGGATGACGCCTATCCTGACAATGGGAGCGCTAAGATGGTAAATAGTGCGTAATGTAGCGATATCGTAGCTACGCTCAACCGTTATGCGTTTAATAAATTGCCTTGGTTACAGGGAGAACAGGTGTTCCAGTCGCTGTTAGAAGCCGGAAGAGACAGACAGATCGAATTAAAAATTGCACAGAATCTTCCTTCCCGCTTGTCTCCGAACGTCGATACGCAAATTTTAGCCAAAAAGGCTAACGCACAGGTGATATTATAGTGTTTATTTTGATGAGGTGGGAGGTATCCAGGTATTTGAAATTATTAAATTGTCGTACTGATTTCACAGGAAATTGTTCATGTCTAGTCAATTTTATTTTAGCCATCAAGCCTATGTACCATAAATATCTAGTTTTTTTAAATTGATACTGAGCATTTATTTTAAATTGCTTAGTAACATTTTTTACATATTTGTACGATATTTTTACTTTATAATTCTTGAAGGCAAACATATTTTTGACAGAAGCCAAAAATTTATAGTTGCCAATAAATAATGTAAACGAAAAAAAATTTTTTACGATTCACTGGTCACCTAACAGATACGTATATTTATTATATTTGAATGCAGGTGAGAAATTTAAATTTTGCTGGATTGTTGGGCGGTGGTGTACTTCACACGAAGCTCTGGCTCATCGATCGTACTCATATTTACGTCGGTTCGGCGAATATGGATTGGAGATCGCTTGCACAAGTTAAGGAACTCGGTTTGATAGCCTTGAACTGTTCCTGCTTAGCAAAGGATTATGCCAAAATATTTGATGTAAGCAGTGAAATAAATTTATAAATTTTGTAGTACATACTTCAAACATGCTCAGTGAGAAATAATTCGTCAAAATAATGACGATTCGACGCGACATTGATCGATAAGTATTGTAATTTCTCGCTGGGTGTTTACTATCTTTGAATTAAAAATTTATATTCATTTTTACTGCAGGTATACTGGCAGTTAGGCGAAGACGGTAAAGTGCCTTCCACGTGGCCAGATTCTCTTAGCACAAAGATAAATATACATAATCCTATGAATTTTACATACATGGATAATAAGTACAAATTATTTATCGCGGTTAGTGCCTTTTTAATAAACGTGTTATGTTGTGGCATTAATTTTTTGCAAATTCTTCCTCTTTATTCTACTTTCTCAAACTGTAGAAACAATATATTAATATGTACAGAGTTCACCTCCGCCATTTTCGCCGAAAGGTAGAAGCAGCGATCTAGACGCGATTGTGCACTGCATCGCTAAAGCGGAAAAGTTCATCTATATCTCTGTGATGGATTATTTCCCGTTAACAATATATACTCCACAAATAAAGTATGTATAAAATATAAATATATTATACTATATTACAAAGAATACATTGAAATAAACATATAAGAACGTAAACTATTATATAACAGCAGTAACTTCTTTTACGTTGTTTCTTCTACTAACATAAGAACTTTCATGTCTATGTTTGCAGGTATTGGCCTATAATAGATAACGCTCTAAGGGCGGCGGCAATCGAGCGTAAAGTAGAAGTGCGTCTTTTGATCTCTTGGTGGAAACACTCTAGATCATCCGAATCATATTTTCTTAAATCACTGCAAGACCTGACGTTCAGTTATCCCAATGTGAAAATTGAAGTGGTGAGTATGTCATTCAGAATAAATGCATATATATTTTTCTGATGACAAATTCGAATTTCTGCTTGTCGAAAATTTATCATCAATTCTACCTATTTTTTTAACAGAAACGGTTTATCGTACCCACTAACTCGTACTTGGACAAAATACCGTTCGCGAGAGTAAACCACAATAAATACATGGTCACCGATGTAGCAGCCTACATTGGAACGAGCAATTGGTCGGGTGATTATTTTATTAACACTGCTGGTAAGTCGTTTAAATATCGATTTTTATGAGAATAAAATAAGATAAATTAAAGTAACAAAACTTGCACACTACGGTATTTTATAAATAAATTTTAAATATATCATATGTAAGTCTGGTTGTTTTTATAAACATTGTTGATGCGTTGTTTAAATTTTTAACACAAATATTTGTCTCAGGTATCGGCACCGTGTTTGAAACCGTTGGACATCAGAATAATGACAACATAAGACAACAGCTGGAAAATATCTTCCACCGTGATTGGTATTCCAACTATTCTTTTCCTCTAAACATAAGCGAGAGTCATTCTGAAAATTTATGGAACCTGTCAAGAAATTCATTTCAACATTCATCAGATGAACCTTATATACATATATAATTATGGTAATTATACAAAAAAGTTATTTTTAATCATGAAACATTTATCGTATTGATCGAGAAGAGTTTGCCCTTTAAACAGAACTAAACTAAAATTATATTATTTCTCTTTATTATATTCTAACCGTATGCTCTTTTCACTTTTGAATATTTTTGTAAATATTTTACAAAAGTTTCATAAATCTGCTCAAATGATCATTGTAACATTGGAATTTATCGTTCCATAGATATGCATATGTTGCTGTTTACTTGTCAGGACTCATATGTATATCGTATACGTTATTTAGCGATTTTAAGAAATTAAGCTACGATATTTTAGAGCGCTAATTGTAAGTTTGCTATACCTAGTAGCATATAAATTAATATTTTGTCTTTTATATGAATATTTTTAATAAGTATCATGTTATTGAATCGTGAACTAATTTAGAATTAAGAATTCAGTACTCAAAAGCAATGGAATTTGATCAGGTTTATACATTTTTTATTTAATATTTTACGTAATACTTTTACATATTTCCTAGTAATTAAGGAATATTTTCAAATTTTTTCCTCAAAATTTATCTTTTTACTTGTTTAAACAACATTAAAAATCACCGGCGATACCAGTTCTTCCTTTCTACTGATCTCTCTTTATCTCACTATCTTTATTATTCGTATCGTGCTATGTTCGTGTAAATATCAGATGTTGTTTAACGAAAAAAAGCACATTTAGTGAACAGGATGAAACGTGCCTTACAGAAGATGACTTTGCGATAAGCACGGCGATATTAATCTAGAGAAATGTATCGACTCTACGTTCTTCCATATTACTTGTGACTTCTCTAGAACTTTTTTGTTACTTGTGTTGTTCCCTTTCTACTAGTATATGCAAATTTGGGACCTGATTATTAATGCCTTGATAAGTATAAAAAGGAAAGAGCAAAAGTTAAATAGACGGTTTGTTTCCCCGATAAAATGGCTATTGCAATGTCGCCTGTGCGACTGATTGAGTATAATCTTCGTGCACAATTATTAATATCGTATTCAATTTTCCCGTCACATAAAAAATAAGACAGATAAAGACTAATAATATTGTCAAAACTTTAATGAACTTTCAGTATATCTTAAGCACTTCAATATGCAGTACTTAAATAATATTTAAATGTCAAATGCATGTTTAAATGTAAGGAAAGTAACAAACGTTAAGTGATTCTGAAAATTTCTAGTATTAACGGAAACGTCAATTGTGACAATCTGCAATTTACCTTCCATTATCTGCGGAATTAATGTGGAGAAAAAGATATAAATTTAAGATGTATTAAGTATTATACGGACCGATTTATGCCTTCAAAAATCGGAAAATTATGTCGGATTATTTCGCAATAATTAATCGGTTTCTGGTGAAAGGTATGTTAGAACATTATTTATAGTATCTAGTAGTTTACATCGATACATACTATGATACTATACCTAAGTCTGCTACTTTGCGTATCATCAATTGAAAACAACGATAATTAACGAATCGCTTTATGAAATATTACTGTGATTGCGCGCGCAAACAATGAAGAATACATGAATTATACATAAAGATCTTTCTCTGCTATTTGTGTCCTTGCTTCAATAAGTGCCCTTATAATCGTACAGAAATGACGAGGTATTTTAATGGTTTCACCTGAATTCTGTAAGTAGTACACTGTTCAAAAGAAATATGGCATAGAAAAATTTTATGCAAAAATTGGTCAACTTTGACTGACGGTAACTCCGCGAAAAATCATCGTAAAATTATGTTCTTTTTTTTAAATTAAAGCTTGAAATCTCTACTTTAAGATACTATAGTTCGATTTTAGGTGTGATGCATCCCTACCACTGTAACACCTTAAATGTGAGGGCATGTTTATTATATTGAAAATTACAAATTATATTGAAAAGTTTGACGGAGTGCATGGACTTGCTACATTTTTTTTCGGGGATACTGTTTGTAGGAACATAAAGTATACGAACCTTCCTCTTTAATTTAAAAAAAAAGAAGTCGCTGCCATTTTTTTCGCAAGGATACAGTACTTTAAAGTAACCCTTGCATTATTGGCATATACCAGGTTGCCGGTCGGATTTTGCACATCATATGGCCCTGAAAAGAGCCGTTTGTGTGTGTGTGTGTGTGTAGAATGACTCATTTTTGGGTGCTTGATTAAAGTGAGTCCTCTTGCCTCACATTTGTGTGTGTGTGTGTGTTTAAATTTGAAAAACGCGTGTTTCCTCTGCATTGTTGAATTACTGCTTGCAGCCGATACCTCATGTTAATGCAAGCTCTAATTTCTTCCTGTGGAATGACATTCCCACATTCCACAGGAATTAGGGCGAAAAAGAATATAATTTTACGATGATTTTTCGCGGAGTTACCGTCAGTCAAAGTTGAACAATTTTTGCATAAAATTTTTCTATGCCATATTTCTTTTGAGCAGTGTATAAGAAAACAATTTTCATACAGATGGTCTTTTGCAATGCAAATACTAAAATTATCGAATAATTAAACGCAGAATGTCTAATTGTTAGTATTTTTAAATTATCTTTGAATATTTCTTAATACACTCCACTTGCTTATATTGTTTCGTTTCTCTGGCTTTAGCCAAGTTTTGCAAAAATTTGCAATATATAATTATTATGTTTTATATTTTATCCATATTAATTAAGTGAATTTACAATTATAATTTTACTGTCATCAATTCTTAAGACATTTATAAATTGATTGAAAACAATATGTACGTATAGACCGGTATTCATTAGTCAGATCTTATATTCAAGACTGTTTCAACTTTATCTAAAGATGCTGTACGGAACATGTCATTGAATCTGGAGTATCTAAAGATGATCTTAAGACGGTTTTGAATATAAGATTTGATTATGAATACCGGTCATAACCTTGTTTTGGAAACTGAGCACGCAGAGCAATACAAAATGCTAAACATAAAAATTAAATAATAAAACTATATAAGGATCCACACGTTAAAAATTGTTGGGCTGCATCTTGCTTGGACCTGTTGGGTTTTTCCGTTTCGTGTCGAAAAATCAAAGTTATCGATGACGCACCGACATGTGCAACGTATGCGAAACGCTAGGATTAATTCTGCAACGTTATTATTGAGCATTAAAAATGGAGTAAAGTTATATTTTTTATTTCATCTGGTCTTCTCTTAGCATCCTTTCTAAGAAACGGTATGTGGCTCAGGTAATTCGGAGTTGGGTCATCTTGTTCTGGGTGAGACTTGTTGAGTGTGGGGAGAAGTTATGTGTTCGTGAATGTGCCCAATCCTTCCACAATGTCTTATCCGGGTAGCCGCTATTAATCGGTCAAAATGCCCATGAAACCGGTATCGTAATAGAGTAAGTCCGGGTATAATATGACCGTACAAGAAACGGAACAAGAAAAGGTGGCCACAAGCTGTGATTTCTCCACTAATCGCTGAATAGTGTATCTTTATTCTGAAAGATAATTAAAATTTACAGCAGTTTATGTAAATACCGATGGCTATTTCCATCGTGGGGAGAGTCCCGAGTTCTTTGTCTAAAACGCGTTAACACCCACTTATTGGTCGCCATTGCCATCTGGGGCTATTTTCTTTATTATTTACAATGTATTGGATGTATTTTTTACACATAATATGTATGTGTGGCCAACTGTCCCGTATTACTACAGCCATCATATTTGGGTTTACCCCGCTAGTGATGCAATCGTGCCTTCTTCTTTATGGGAGTGTTAGAAAATAAAAAATTTTCTTCATCGATGCTGTCCGTTTTGAAGACATGTTTATTACTGAAATGAATCAGCTATAAAAGTGTCACTCTATGTAAGGTAAATAAATACATCGAAGTATCTCTAAAATTTTTGGAGAGAAAATACTGCCATAGAGTGAAACGCTCGCCCTATTGGAGTGAATATTTACTCCAACAGAGTGATTAGAGAGTAAATTATGGTCGAACGTAGGACTTGTTTTTAATTGGAAGTTTGGTAGGATAATTTCGTTCATATATCAGAGATAGTACTACGCAGTTTATAGAGGTACAGCGTCAGAGCGCAGTATCTCTATAAACTACTTAGCATTGCTACGTAGCTGTAGAGCAAGAGAGAAAGAGCGAGGGGCAAAAAGAAGAAAGAGCTACAAACGCTATAGAGTGGGAATCTTTTTACTAAACGCAGGATTGGGTTTGTGATGTCTTTTTAGTGGACTATAAGAAAACTGGAATAACTGGAATGACTGGAATAGCGAGAAGAAGACGCCACTATTTTTATTCCTTGTGGTATTGTTACCGATTATTTAATAGTGGTGAATTATCAAGTAACTTAGTCCGATACAAATTTTAAACTTGTATCCGCGAAAAAAGCTTTACATTTCGGGAAAACTAACTTTGAGGGAGAGGTGGTGCGCGCGCGCACACATACACACATGTGAATAATTCATACACTAATAATTTCTTCTTAATCTTTTAGTAGCAGTTTATTATTTATGTTTTGAACAAACCTGATGAGAGACAAAAATGATGAATTCAATGTAATTACTAGGGTTTATAAAAGAAACTGAATTCGTAATTGTCATTTACATTTTTTCACGTGCGCGATAGAAATTAATCTCTACTGACAAATTTTCGGCTAGCATATAAAATTATTCTCGCAAATTTTACAGATATTATTATGAAACAAGTTAGCCATTGGAACACGATCGATGTTACAATGCGACGATAGAAGCTTCCGCATTCCGATTTTACTTCTGTTGTTCCGAACGACGAATATTACAGCTGATTAACAACTAATAATTGAACCTGCCCCGCGCGGCTTCTGCGCCTTTGCGCGTCCTTCGTAGGGCGCCGTGGAGGCCTTTATCCCGGCGAGGAAGGTATCCGCGAGGAAGAAAAAGAACCCGAAGAATGCGCGCATCTTCTACTATTCTTATTTTCTTACGTTATAAACGCTGACGCAGGTGGTAGCCATCAGGAGGAGGAAGACGAGCGCAGGGTAGGGTATGGTGGCCGCTGAAGAAGGGGTACAAAGGCGGAGGTGGGAAAAGTGGGACCGCGGCTCAACAGGAGTGACAAAATGTGGGCCGTTTTACTCGAGAAAAGTCGCTGAGGCAGAAAAGAGGATCGATAGATCCACGCGGGCGAGGAGAAAGTTATTACATACGTACCTACCGGTATTCACGTCCGCCTGATCAACTGTCTATTTGCCTGAGCACCTGCCAGTGCGCTCGCTCGTCTTGGCTGCCTGCCCGCTCGTCTACCCTGCCCCGCTGTCATCGACGCCGCGAGCCGAACGCGGATTCCTTTTCTCGATCATCTCTCAACCATTCAATAAGGTCAGTGGAAGATTAACATCGCTGATCGATATGCGAGACACGTTCGATGCGCGAGCATCATCTGTCTCGTGGCGAATCCGCGCTTTATTTCTTTAGCCGTAGCTCAGTTTATCGCGTTACCTCGGTCGAGTCGTTCTCCAGTCGACTCCGGTTCGCCACTTCCCTACTTTCGCGACGGTACAAGGCGTAAGTGGTTGAAGCGTTTGTCTGGGTAATAGCGTAAGTTGACAGAAACGCACCCCCTTTAAAGGACACAATTAGATCTCGTCTTCTCGCTCGAGCCCGACAGATTTTAGAATATGAAACTATGAAAGTTACATCTCGCAAAAATAGAATCTTGCGTTAAATATACAGTATTTTACCCCTTAAAGTTGATCTTTCCCGTTTAATTATTAAACATTGTGATCTAAATTTCATGCGATTAAATTTCCTTTGTGCTCAGGTTCAATACGTATATTTTGGACTTGACATTAATTAATTCGCGTCAGTAAAAATGCATTAAGCGTCTTCGGTAAAATTCAACAGAAATCCATCGGACTATTTCGAGTAAACCTCACAAGTCGGGGAAAAAGTATGAACGGGAATTCGAGGTGTTGCAGCATATTCTTCTGGAACCAATTGCAAAATATGCCGTTTCTCCTTTCAAAAACAGGAGTTAAAGTATTTACCGTTAAATCGTATGACCATTCCACTTATTTGTCGTAGTTTTTGTATTTGATTTCTCTCCTTTACGAGCGTTTGCGCCCGGTGTCCACTTTCCTCTCTCGTTGCTCTTTGTCTTCCTTTTCCTGCGCTATGTTATCCAATTATTTTTTTACAATATATTAAATGCAGACATTATAGAATTGGCAAGCGTCGCTGCGACAGTTTATACGTTTAGTTTATGAAACATCGGCTAATTGCGAGAGGAATGTGCATTATCCACTGATAAACAGTTCGATTGTCGCCCGAACGGTTGGGAAATCTTTTTGGTTTCGTAACTTCCTCGGACATACAAATGTATTCGTCAACTTTGGCGAATGCAATTTAGCACACTTAACGTTTCGATAGCCATCCCCGCTCGCACGACTTTAATCATAAGTGCGACGTGCGGGAGTTCGTAATAACCGTATCTCATCGTCGCGATATCGATAAGGATCGTTCGTACAGAGTCACGCCCGGCGAGTTTTGGCATCTTCCGCAATTTTCTCGCTCATATCCCTGGAATTTTGCCGACACGTAGCTTTAGTCACGTATCCCAGCCTCTTCGTTTTCCCCATGTGTGAGTAGTCTCTTTTTGTTCGGTGCGCCATTTGACAATGGTTACTTACCGCATAGCGGAGAACCACCTGTGGCGGTCCCGGTTCGCTCTAATAGAGCGGCTTAATGAGTTGCTGAAACTCTAGGGTAGCAAAGCGTAATAATTACAAGCAGTAACACGATATTTCACACGCTGATTTTATACGTATGATTTTATCTGTTGAAATTAATTAGCTCTTAATTTAATGTTACGTTTACTCTTACCATTATTTAAATTCGCGATTATAAAAGAAAGTTCCCATTGATAGAATTATTTTCTGTTGTTGGCTAAAAATTCGAAAATTATCCAGGCAAGTTTTTCAATATCTCTGAAGCAATAGCTGGAAGCAGAGGAAATTAATTAAATCCAAATTGTCTCAATTTAAAGTTGGAGCAAAAGGGCTGGTCAACGTTTCAGAAGATTATATACTCTGGGAAATGCAGGATTTTTATTCGTGCGTGTGTTTTATGGTTAAGGCTTTCTTATGTAAGAATTTGGATCACTGTTCGTGCCTACTTTCAGTCGTTGCTTCAGAGATATCAGAAAATTTTATCTAATTAAGAAAGTTGTATTTCAAGTAGGGGTGTTTCAGTATTATATATGCAGTTGTTACGAAGTTTGGGGAAATAATAAAATCCGTACCGCTTTCGCTCATTCATTATCTTCTAATTGCTCTCATTTAGTAACTTTTTGAACACAATGTTGCCATAAAAACATTACATAGTCTAGCACGTGTGGGCAAATTGTATATAGATAGTTACAGAATAAATTGCCTTTAAAGCAAAACTTAACGGTAAAACCACAGCAGAAATAAAATTAAAATTATCTTATAAACAAAGGGGATTTATTAGGAAAATTAATATTAACTGAGACACGAATATTAATACGTCTCGATCGCTACTGCAGCTACACACAGTTACGGACTTTAAATTCCATATATTTTTTCCCTTCTGTTTAAAATCGAATAAGAGCATTAGACACAACATTAAATAACGTATGCAATTAATAGCTCGCCCTATAATAGAAATCGTCTCCAGAGTAACAGCAAAAATATCGCGACTCGTCCCTTGTGTGCTTACAATTAAATGTTTAAAACTTAAAGTTCTAGCTATGATCAAGTTTCAGTTAAGGTTTCAACACTTTAAACAGTAATACACAGCGCGAATGTCGAAGGTCATTTATAATAAGTTACTTCGCATTTTATTCGAGACCATGACATTTCTTGTGGACTTATTTGCCTGGTTTCTTTTTTTAGCAAAAATATCTCTTTTAATAAAAACTTTGTCGCAGTTTCTCGTTTGCTCAGCAAAGTATTGTGTTTCTTTTTTGCCAAAATAAATTCCATTATGTGTGCATTCGAGTTACTTGAATAATATAAACATTATATACTTAAATTTTTGGAAATGATAAGTCGCCAGTGATAGAAACATACAATCAATAATTAAAACGACCTAGGCTGGCAAAAAGTAGACTTTGCCAGCCTAGGTCGTTTTAATTATTGATTGTATGTTATATATTTAATATTATTAAAATATATGTATATTTCTTGTATTGATTGTTAAAACACCTGCAGTTTGCAAACTACTTTTCGATAAATCTAATTCTATAATCACTCGATAATTCTATAAATATTAAATAATTCCGCCTTTCATCTTCGACGTTATTTCGATAAAAGCAATTTTCTTGGTTTCGTTTCTGCGTATAAGGAATCACATGCATTAAATATAAGACATACATACATACGTAAGGAAACGATTGCGTTGCTTCTAGTGGTGCTTAAATGCGATCCACATAATCGTCTAGCTAATTGTATATGTCTCTTGCATTATTTATAAGGTTTACCTAAATTCTTGTTATCTGCAAAATTCAATTAACTCACAATCAAGCACGAGTCCATATAACTGTAAATGTAAATATAAAATTAAGCAATAGTAATAATAATATAATAATAAACTTTATTGAGTTCCCCTTAGGGTTACAATCTAATTTAAGCAATAATATGAAGGGTGTATATTTATTAGTAAATTCAGGAATATTAGAAATTGCTAACTCGCAAGGCACAATGGATTTTTTTCGATAGTTAAAACCCTTGATAGATGGCGATTATGTCAAACTTATAACGATTATCGAATTTACTGCAAGTGATAGCGAAACTTTGCACATCTTTAAACGGTCGAATCCCGACGTGACATAGAAAATCTAATCCGATGATAGCGTCTACTTTGGGAGACACGTTCGACGTATTTGCGATGTCTCTTTCTCTTCTTTCTTCGCACTGACCACGACGAGAAATCGGTTAGCTTCACGATTTACATAAGAGGATACTCAAGACGGTTGCGTTGCTCCTAGTGTTGCTCCAAGTGATTGCTATTCATCGTTGTTATGCTAATTGCGCTATATGAAACGTTACGAGTTCGATTTCTTCCAATTGTCAGGCCAACGGTAATCGCTGATAACGAATTCTGAACCGTGCAGAGACGAAAATTCCACCTGTCGTGAAACTTTGGCAAAGACTATTTACAGCGCTCTTTACAACTGCAACGAAATACGCTGTTTAGAAATATATTTTTTGTATAGTTGATTACTCGTATGTTAAAACCTTGTCCTGTTATGCCCGATATTTGCAGTAGTTATGGAAAATTTATGATCTATAAAAGAACGGTGTGGTCTGTTTTACTTTCGTAGTTTTGCAATATGCAAATTTTTTCGCAAGCTTACCAGCATTTAAATTTGGACCTTCGAATATATCAGATAAATTATCAGAAATCAAGCAGAAATCAAGCAACTACATATAAATAATTAACAATTTTAATGAAGCTACCATCAATAAAATATTATTTAAAACTGTTAATAGATAACTTTAAAATGAATCGATAGCGGGATTTAATGGTGTCTTCTCGAAAGATTTTGAGCGGATAATTAGGTTAAAGTACAACCCTACAGTAAACTGAAGTAACCATTAAAATGATTTGCATTAAGATCTTCTAAATTCAATTCTTATTTTATTAAAAGAAATAAATTAAAAACGTATTTGTTGAATTAATTAACGCGACTATATACGCGAGCCATGAAAGTAAACCGATTATATTGTACAATAAGTTCTAAAATACACATATCCACTTGTGAACCAATCACAAGATACAAAGCTTCCTCCTACGATTCAGTTTGGACTAACTATATAACTGTCCCAGACCTCTGTGAAACAACGTAAAATTTTCAAAATAATTAATTGTATATTCCTTGAATTGTGCGTATTGTCAATTTTTACACGTCAGCGTTTCGAGTCCTCCATGAATGTTGCAAAAATAAACATACGATGTTTAAGCAGGTAACACGCAATAATTTTTCGCTCGGTTGCACTTTCACGTACTTTCCCGGCGTCCTAAATGCACACATGGTTTTGTTCCATGCAAACGTCATTAAGCGAAGCCCGAATCATTCGTGCCGCGCGGCGAAACGAAGTGTATCTGTGGCAGTAGTACAAGAAGAAAAATAGGTCGTACCGTTAGGGAATCAACGAACATTCACAGCATCCGTACCGTTATGCCAGTGGCGAGACTGATGAAACTCATTGATTGCCCGACTGACCGGTTCTCACGGACAATTGGAATGTAACTTCTCCAACTTCTTTCTGAGAAATCGAGAAACTTCGTCTCCTACTGCTAGAAATTTAATTTAATTATTTTTTTAGTTACTTTCGAAAAACGTTCAGACTTCCGTA